ACTTCTCGTTGATGCTTGCCATGCTCCTCTAGGCTTTTTGAGTAAATCAGAATGCCATCTATGAACACTATCACTGATTTATCGAGGAATGCTTTACAAAACATGTTCATCAAATCCATGAATGTTGTTAGAGCATTGGTTAGTCCAAACGACATAACCAAGAACTCATAGTGTCCATATCTCATTCTGAACGCAGTTTTCTCAATATCCAGCTCTCTAACCTTCAGCTGATGATATCTTGGCCTAAGATCAATCTTAGAGAAATAGCTTGAACCTTGCAGCTGATCGAATAGGTCATCAATCCTTGGCAATGGATACATTTTCTTCACCGTTGCCTTGTTTAGCTCCCGGTATTCTATGCACATTCTCATACTTCCGTCCTTCTTTTTCATGAATAACACCGGAGCTCCCTAGGGTGATGAACTAGGTCGAATGAAACTTTGTCCAACAACTCCTAAAGTTGTGTCATAAGCTCCTTCATCTCTGCCGGTGCTAATCGGTATGGGTCTTTTTCTATTAGTGTTGATCCTGGCGACAAGTCTATTCAAAACTCTACTTGTCTATCAGGGAGCAATCTAGGATGATCTTCAAGAAAGACTTCCACATAGTCACACACTACTTGTATTTGTTGCATCTCCTTCTTCTCTTTCTTGGCATCCATTACAAATGCCAAGTATGATGTGCATCCTTTGTACAAACATTTTATGGCTTTCATTAAGGAAATGATTCCATAATTTATTCTGCGTTTGTCCCAGCACATCATAAATGACTCTTTTCCAAGTGGGTTTACTCTCACAATCTGCTTCTTGCACTGTATCTCGGCATCATTGGCGCTAAGCCATTCCATTCCCAGTACGATGTCAAAATCATTCAACTCAATGAGTAGCAGCTCTTTGTGGAATTTGCTTTCGTTTAAGTCGAAATCATTCAACTCAATGAGTACACCATAAATACGAAGTTTAAATCTTTCACCCAGCATAGATCCCAAAGTTTTATATATGTATATGTATATGTATGTATGTATGTATGTGTGTGTGTATATATATATATATATATATATATATATATAGTTTAGATTTGAAATGAGAAATTTAGATCTGAAGGAAAACAGTTCAGATCTGAAAGAAAAAGTTCAGATCTGAAAAGAAAGAAGTTTAGATCTTTCATTCAGCATAGATCTCAGGTAAACAGCTAATATATGCACATAGCACATAATTTATATAAAATATTTCATATTTGTGTACAAGATGAAAGTGACTATACACTCACTTGATAAGGTGGTGATTCCAACTTGGACAACGCTTTACTTAGACGAAACTGAGAGGTCTGCTTGAAAACTGGGTTCTGCGTGGGCAGAGTTTTAAACCGAAAAACTCTTTTTCTCGGAGCCTTCGAGAACTACATAGCTTTATTCAAGTGCTAGGGAAGTTTCCTACGCTTTTGGGGATGTTCTGGGAGGTTTAGAAAGTGAGTACAATGGGAAAGAAAGGGTAAAAAATGTGAAAAATGAAGGAACTCTCGGGTGGTATTTATAGGATGATAAAGTGCCCAACTCGTCGAGTTTTTTGGTCAAATCGTCGAGTTCTAACCCCCAAAATTGTCGAGTTCCTGGTTAACTTGTCGAGTTGGTGCCACGTTTCGTCATCTGGTGGGGAGAAAGCAATGACTCAGATCGCGCCATGCCACCCACTTCGCAATAGCACCCTGCTGACTTCTAAACCCCCAAACTTTCACATACGAGATGCGTTTTTTACGTTCTTTATATCCACGCATAGGTGGGAACATACTCTACAACTTTTGTTTAGACTGTGTTGACTAATTCACACTGTTAAATGACCGTGTAAATTCATAACTTCTACCTACGGACTCCATTTTTGTCTGTCTATTTATTGTTGAACTCCTATTAATGAGATCTTCAATTTCAATTTAGGTTGTTTCGGCTAAAAATCATTCGATCTAAATTCGAACTCCGGGCTGCACACTGCTATTTCAAATCTTAGAAAATTCATAACATCCTCATACGAAGTTAGATTTAGACGTTCTTTTTATGCACGCTCTCGGTTTAACGTATACTACGACTTTAGTTTAGATCTATAACGCTAAAAATCACTTTATTGTAAACTCTCTTTTTACGTCACACAACGTCGTGTCGGTTTTTCCGCGAAACTTCGATAGGTCATAACTTCTTCATTATAACTCGGATGTCGGCGTTCTTTATATCTTCAGAATCCTTGTAACAACCACTACAACTTTCTTCATAGATATCGGGTTTATCTATATTTTTATTTTTGGTACTTATTTTCATTCTTAATTTAGTATATCATTATAAACAAGTATAAAGCACATAAATTCATATAATACTTAAATAATTCCTTTATTACGTTAAAACATATAACATTTGTTAACCCTGACTATTACATCATCGCATCAATGCTTAGCCTCGAAACACGGGCATTACATAATCAATAAAGTTGGCAACTTTTCTCCGTTGCATGTCTTAATGGGACCCAAACCCCTTTTTTATTCATCTAAGTCCATAATATTAACACAAACTCTAGCATGGTTCATCAAAACCCATCAATATGACATTTTTTTGCACTAAGAAAATCATAAATGCTAAGATCTAACATTTTAAGCTCCTGAAGTAGCATATACCCACAAGGATGACTCAAGGGGCCATAATATACCCAAAAAAGCCCTAGACTAGATCTAACACATAGATTCATCAAGATAGAAGCTTTATACCTTCAGATGCTAGAAAAATTGATGAAGACTCTGGATCCATGAGCTCCATTCCAAAAAATGATTGAACACCAAGCTCCTTCTTCTTCAAAGTGTTCAAAATCACCAAAAATTAACCAACAAAGCTCAAGAACACTCAAGAGCGATCTAGGATTTCTTGGGGAATTTTTAGAGGGAAGGAGACTGATGAGGGGGCAGCCTCTAGCCGCATAAAGATGCTTAAATTGGGTCCAAACCCCAAAAATTATGGTTTGTACATTGACTATGTACGTCCTGTGTACCAAATGTACACCCAACTTACGCGTCCCTCCACTAAATTTTCACTTTTCACCCCTTTGGACTGAATTGTTAAACTAAATCAAAATCAATGGTTAAAATTAGAAATACCTTGGAATCAGGTGTTACGTTGATTAGCCACTGGGTTGGTTATAACCCATAGGGATGACATAAGCCCATAGGACTACTGATAGTCCTCAGGACTACTGATAGTCCCAGGGTTGTTGATTGCCCATAGTTGATTATTATGTTATGTTGTATGTTATATTTTGAGGATTGATTCCTTTATGTCCAAGTTTATACTTTAGGATATTTAGTCCCATTCAGGGTTATATACGTGAGTGTAGTCTTATATGCATAGTTATATGTATAGGTGCAGTCTTATCTGTAGGATTATGTTTTGAATGAAGTTTTATTTGCAGGATTATGTTTTTAGTGTAGTCTTATCTACATGATTATGTTTTAGAGGGTAGTCTTATCGGTGAGGTTATGCTTTAGGATATGAAATCCCAATGTGTATAGTTTAATATGTAAGGCTATGTTTTGGGAATGTGGGATTCCTCATTTTTTTTTATTATGACAGGTTAACTGTTAAAAGATTTCCATAATGTTTTAATTGTTATATTGGAAGCACGCTTTGATTGTTTTGTTCGGTTAAAACCCATGTAAGTCACAAGTCTTTTCGACTTTCATGTTATTTTTAAATGTGCTATGTACTTAGTTATCAAAGTATAGCTTAGAGAGATGTTGATAGATAAGGCTTAGCGAAGTCTACATGTGGTTTGATCCCTTCTCTTTTACTATGGTTATTGATATTTTGTCATAACACCAAACAATTGTAACTCTGATAATATAAATCGAAACGTTTTTGTAAAATCAGATTTTACTGTGATTGAATATTACAGTAATTGGACAACCATAGTAAATTTGGAAAGTTAAAATTAGGGGTGTTACAGAAGGCTAATGGCCTTAACTCTTAAATATTTTACTTTGAAACGAGTTGTTAGAGATGTTTTTGCTATATCAGTACCTATAATTGCTTCTAGATCAACCTTTAGTACCGATGGAAGACATGTCACTACTCATTGTAATAGGCTACATCCGAATACATAGAATACATTGATTTGTGTACAAAATTAGCTAAGAAATGAGAAATTAGGTGTGGTTTTCTATATCCCAACCCTTTTATATTTTAATTTAAACTTCTTAAACATACAATATTTTGTAACAATACTTATATTTATTTATTTTTATTGCTAGGTGTACATTCAAATAATGAAAAACATTTTGCAAAGATGATGAAGTCGATCCAAGCTTTATGGATTTTGATACTTAGTCTATGAAAAATTATTGTTTTTATTCTAGTTCTTTAACAAACATGAGAACATCTTTCTTATCTTCTTATTATTATTTCGTTTACGATAATGAAATATGAATTGTTGAACGTTTTAGTTATAGTGATTATTATTTTATGTTCTATATATTTATATTTGAAGTTTATTTACTAAACAGATATCCATCGGGTTCCTGTATCCATTGGGGTTGGGTGGGAGCGGAAGGATCTGGTTGCAGGGACGGGTATTACACTATCCATAAATATTCGCTCCCGTTTGCATCCACACTCCAAAACTAATGATAAAAAAAAGTGGATAATCCCACTATTCCAATACGCCAAAGTTTTTCCATTGAGGTTAATAAGAAAATAAGAAGACATACTTCATTTGATTCATCATCAAGGCAGAATAAAACTCGATTAGTTGTTCCTTAAATGATTAATTCATGGCTTCATTAAACATGATCCTAGAAAGTATCCCCATGTGAAAGCATTTTCCTAATTTATAGTTAATGACAACTTAATTATATAGTTTTGCATTATACTACATATCAATCATGTTAAACATGTCTACCAACTAAGCAAGTCCAAAAGAGTATACTTGACTAAAATGTTTTATGATACAACCATGTGTATTTTGTCTCATTTCTCAAGTCTTTGAAAGTGTATGTATGTTAATTGGTGAAATGTCATTAGAATCTCCATCCAATATACGTTTTGCTACGATAAGATTAGCGCTTTCAGTAACATGATACTGGTCCCAAAAGAGATACTTTGATCTATCTGGGCAAATAGTGGCATGTGGTAGGCATGGAGCCAAACCACTATGTAAGCCTGACATGTGACAACATGCACTATCAACGTTTTCAAAATCTACAAGAAGAAAAAAATAAGTTATATAAATAAGATTTTGTTCCAAAAATGTCACAATCAATCAAATTGGAATGAAATTTACTTATATATCTGTATGGTGCTTTTTTTCCTTTCACATATAAATTACTCACCGTATGATCCATAGTTTTTCATTATGTCATCAAATATATGATATACATCTGCATAGACAAATGTCGATCCTTTAAGTGTGTTTGTAAGTTCTTTGAGCATTTGTTTCAACTGGTTGTTGTATTTTTGCACCAATAGATTTTGAAATTTCACACACACTTCTCCGGAATGTTGGTTAAAATCTCTTTCAAACGGGCAACATCCAACTGGAGGAACATTTGTAACGAGAATCTTTCGAGCACCCATATCATAAAGTTTCTATACATAATAAACAAAAGACTCCCAATTCAATTAACTTTTATAAAAAAAATTGAAATACTATGGATTCAAATTTTGATAATTCTGGAAGAATGAACCACGATATATGGATCTAAGGTAAAAAATAATCATGACTTGTCTTTTTAGCCTTTTTAATAGACAAACTCATGTATAATTTATGTAGCTAGTTAAATTACTATGTATTTTGAATATAGGTAAATCATACTCTATAATAGATTCACACATACCACCGTAATGGAACACTAACAATAAATAGAGCATAAACAGAACCCAATACCTTGCTTTTGGGATGAGACTCTATAATCAACGAGCTCCATGACAAGAAGAATTTGTATTTTAGAGAACACAATTTGATAAATTAATAAATATACTTTAGAAATGAGAAATTAAATATGAATGAAAACATCATTCATCTAAGCTTTTTTGTTTCATAAATCTAAATGAATGGTCTAACTTAGCTTGACGTGTCTAATTTCCTATGGGAAAACATATGATAGTTAGACAGATCCTTATAAATGGTTCGGTTTTCAGAAAATCGGGATATAGTCTCTAAGTTCAAAAAATCTCATTGATGGTCCTTGTGGTTTCAAAACTTTTAACAAATAGTCCCTGTAGTTTCCAAACATTTAACAAATAGTCAATTCCCCACATGAAATGACTTATTTACCCTTTTTAAATTTTTCTATAATTAATTTTTTATGAAAATAAATATCAACCTCGCCCATGTTGCATTGTTCCTCTTCTCCATAGCCTTTGTTGCTTCCATCTCTTCCTCCAACATCACATGTGACTTCCTCTGTTATGGTGGTCTCCCCATACATTGTTGATGACTTAGTTATCGAATCTAGAATAAGGAAGCAACAGTAGCTATTATAGCGATAAAAGTTCAGATCGGAGGACAATAAAAATGATACGATAACAAATTGGGAAAAGACGAAATCTTAAACAACCACCACCGTTTGGGAAGAAGAAACAGTCATCAGTGCCTTTTTCATCTCTAATATTGGCCACCCTTCGATTACATATATTCGATCTTGATTATCAAACTAAAATTCAGATTTTTGTTGATGATTTCAAGGTTTAATATCATCACAATCGTGAAACTAAACCCTTTGATTTCATCTAGGTCTATTTTCTTCATGGAAGCAGATTTTTATGGTTGATTTCTAGGTTTAATATCATATATATATATATATATATATATATATATATATATATATATATATATGTATGTGTGTATGTGTGTGTGTTTAAGCTTAGTCTATGAATGATTGAGTGCGGGGTGGTAATGTCAATGGAAGGTGAGTATACGGGAGTGCCCTTTTAGCTACAAGGTGGGCTAACTGGAAATGTGTGATGGTGATGGATATGTGGTGATGTATGGGAGTTAGGTGGTTTATGAAGATGGTGGTTAGAAGATGTTAAAGGTGGTCCGACAGCAGTGGGAGTTGATGATGGAGATAGTGGTGGATAATGGTGGTGGTGTTTTGTGATGGTATATGGTGATGGTGTTTTCTGATGGTCTGGTGAAGGGTAGTCGATGGTGGTGGACGACGTTATGTGATGGTCACGTTGGTGGTAATCGGGGTCCCATAGTTGGAAGTTGATGATGGCGATGGTGGTGGAAACTGGTAGTGGCGGTAGTGGTAATGGGGGATGTCAACCAAAAAGGACAGGCAATGGGTAGGTTATGGTAGGATAAGATAGGATGGGATAAGTGTTTTTAATATTTTAATTTAAAAAAATATTGTAACCGTAAAATTAGTCAAAAAGAAATGTAAAATAAATTTAAAAATGGTATAAAAGTCGTTTTAGGTGGGCGTGAGACTATTTGTTAAATGTTTTGAAACTACATAGATCATCTATGAGGCTTTCTGAACTAAGGGACGAGATCCTAGATTTCTTAAAACCATATGGACCATTTATGAGGTTTTGTCTAATAATTAACATGTTCAATTATTATTGGCAAAATACATTTCACAATCTTTTTACATGATGTTTAGATGTTATACGAGTGCTAGACGGTCTAAGTTGGTTTGGCACCATAGTTTGTTTTAAGAATCAAGCACACAAAAAAACTTCCAAACTCCACGCGATTTAAAATACAAAGCTAGCTTAAACCGTTATTATTCATTTGTTTCAACCTTTGTGCATCTTATAAATAGATTTTGATATATATGTTTTGCCAATTAGACATGACATCGTTTTTCTTTATTAAAAAAAATCTCATTCATATTATAATTTTCGAAGGTAGAAAAATACTGTAAACAATAACAACATGAAAAATATAGGAATCACGAGCTGAAAACAACAACAAAAAAATGTGATTGGTCCTCTGTGGAAAAGAAAAGTGGGGGTTGGGAAAACCAAATTTTCCCTAATAAATAAAGAACTTTTTATCGCATGTCACACTCTTATTGATTTGATTAAATATCATTTTGTAGTTATTTTCAATTAAAAATTTTGCATATGGTATTTTGTGATTTTTTTTTCTATTTTATTCAATTTCACATAATATTTAAATATAATAATTGCAATAAATGTAATAATAAATAGATATCAGTTTTAATAATTGACTTTACTTCTAATTTTAAAATTTCTAAATTAAAATTTCATTAGTTTCGTTTGTTTATTTATCTAAATTAGTTGTTTAGATTTAAAAGAGAAAAAAAAAAAACACGCTTTCGAAAAGACCTGATCCTTCCCTAAATACCACTAAACACAAAGTGGTTTCGCCGTATCCTCCGAGATTAATTTTAATAATTCAATATTTTTCTAATTTTTTTTATAAATTCAAACTTTTTAAATGTTTATAATTTTCTTACTTAATTTTTTTTAATGAACCCACATAATATATGGGTCTTATACCTAGTATATAAAAAAAAGATAAGGATTTTGTTAAAGAAAAAAAAACAAGTTGTATTTAATCTAAAAAAACAAAGAATCTGTTATATAATTAACCATTTCTATAATATCTCAATTTTAACCAATTATACCACAACTCACTCCAACCTAAGTGGATAAAAAGATAAAGAGCTTATATGAGATATGCTAATAAAAAACCACAAAATCACACATGTTGAATTTATAGAACATGATGTACATGATTTGTATCCATTTGCGTTATTATTTTAAGTATATGATTGGTGTGATGAAGATGGTGTTATGTATTAATAACGTAGCAAACGATTGATTGTAATAATGGGTATGATGAAAGTAGAAATACATTAGATTATCTATATGAGTAGTATTGGACACTAGATATTGGTCCTTGAGAGGAATCCAAGGAAGTTCGTTATATGAAGTATGTATAGGCATCAAAGTAGTATAACTACATTGTCAAGTACCAATACTAGTATATTCAGAACAAGATGTCATGGATATGGTGTTTTTATTTTAAAGAATATTTCGGTTTTTCGTTATATGAAGTATGTATAGGCATCAAAGTAGTATAACTACATTGTCAAGTACCAATACTAGTATATCCAGAACAAGATGTCATGGATATGGTGTTTTTATTTTAAAGAATATTTTGGTTTTTTGCCCAAAAGTTAAATTTACACGTTATCAAATAAAATTACAAAATAGATAAGCCTACAAGTACAATAAACTTGAGAGACGTAGTGTAATCTGTCCGGAAATCAGAATTTGAGGCTAGAAACGATGTTATAATATATTTTCTAAGTATTTTAAGCTTTTATTAGGCCTATAGCCACGTGCTCTAATCCTCTGAGCTACAGGCCCCACTCCGTCTCCACTGACAATCTTCCGCTCTGCGATATAATTTAGAGACAAAATTATAAAAATGGTCTCCCTTGTTTATCAAAAGTCATAAAATCAGTCATGTTAATTTTTATATGCAAATGGTCCTTATGGTTTTGAAAAACTTGCATGAATGATCCTTTTTACTAATGGAGATAGTATTCAACCGTTAGGGGCTGAATTCGTAAGGATGTTTTCGTCTTTTCAAGTATAAAGAGACATAATTTGTGACATTTATTAAACCATAGAGACATTTTTATACTACGTTTAAAAATAATATAACTACTAGAAAGTGAGGGGAGGAAGATTCTAACTTGGGATCTTAGTCCCTCTCGCCTAAGCCTTATGCCACTACGCTGCAACCAAACTTGATTTACAATTCCGAAAACTAAATTATATTACGTAAAATCGCAAAAAAGATAAATAAAAAAATAAATTTCCATTTTTTTACATAAAACCTTGTTTTTTAATAAAACAAAATGTACTTTTACGTATTGTAAAAAAAAATACAATTAGTTTATATGTTTTTTTACGTATTTATTTTACGTAAAATAATTTTTTTATGTATTTAAAAAATATGTTTTCGTATAATACCGTGGCATCCGATTTTCATGTATTTTCAAATCCATCCATTGGTTGTTAATTATGTCTTTTGTTCCTTGGTTTAGGATGAGGTGGCCATGGGAAGCCCTAGTGGCAAGTTTGTATTTTGGGTGTGGAAGGGGTACGTTGAACATACATATGAGTAAACTAAGCGTACTAGGGCGTACCCTAGTATGTTGGGTGTACTCATGTCCGATGGGAACCCTAAATTTTAGGGTTTGTGGGGTATTTTAAGATTCTTATGGTCATGTATCCCCACCTTTTCAGCCTCCAAAGTCTTAGATCCGCTCTTGCAAGACCCTAACCCTCTAGAGTGTGATTATGAGCCTTAAAGTGCATTCTTGGTGAATTTGAGGAAATAGAAGTGCATTAAGGAGCTTTAAAGCTTGAAACAAGGATTGGATCTAGAAGTTTGGACCTCTTCTCTATCATTTTATGGTATAAAGGTCATACCTTTGTGGTTTATTTGTTAGATCTCATGTTTGGGTCTTTTATGCTTCTTCTTGGTACCAAATGTTCCATCGTGTTCATGGCATGTTCTGGATGTTTTGAACTATCCTTGTACACCCTAGGAAGGGTCCTTGGTCATTAAAATAAGGTCCCAATGGCCAGAAGTACATCATGCATTTGGTAAAAGGGTCTTAATGGATTAAGACCATGCATTAAGCCCTTTTTGGGTGACCAAAGTCTTAAAGTTTGAGACTTTATGGTTCTAGAGCACATTTGAGTAGAGGATCGGAAGTTTGAGCGTAGGTACTTCATCCATTAAGCAGTTAATTGAATTTTAAGACCTATGAGGGTACGCCCCGTGTAAGGCTGCGTACTCCCTACGTTCGGAGTCACCCCTATCCCCCCCCCCCCACCCGACAATTGGTCAATGCAAGGCGAGGTACGCCAAACGTATCGAAGGGGTGCACCTCGCATATGCCTTTTGTTGCGCTTCGGACTTTAGGCTTCGGGTATTGGGCCATCTGTTAGGCCTTGATACTTAGGCCCTAATGGTCTATCTGGATGGTTGTGTCTTGGGCTAAGTAGAGGACTAGACTTTGGATAAGGCCTAATAAGGAGTTGGGCCCGATTTGGAAAATTAGGCAATGTTTGGACCTTGAAGTATTTTGAGCTTTTTGATCAAGATTTGGGTTTGGTTTTCACTGGGTTGTGTTGGGCCTTCTAGGAATTTATGGTTTAGGCTTTTGCTTGATGGATCTTCTTGGGTGAAGGCCATGAAAGGAATTAGGCCCAATTTGGAAAATTAGACATAATCGGATTTAAGGACTTTATTTTGATGTTGGGCCTTTTGTCATCTAGTCTACGCCTTAGCTTTTGGCCAGGATTAAGGAAGGGTAAAAAGGTCTTTTACCCTGAATTGGACTCATTGTATGAGTCATCGACTAGATATTGATGGATTTTCATTTTGGAATGTGTTAGTGCATGTGTGATAGCGGATCTACAGTCA